CCACTGTATACTATGACGATGCTTAAAGCTCCATAGTGATAAAATGTATATGCAGTACACTCATTACTTACCTTAAAATATTTAAAGTCTTAATGTAGGGTGAAAGGTGAAAAGTATTTATTTGTAGAAAGTCATGTGGTAGGTAGGGTAGTGTTGGGAAGCCAGCATGGCCACCCCACCCACTATGTAAACAAACAGACGATGTGTCGGGTTATGGTTCATAAACATTCATACAAACGCCTTAGATTGTGTACAAATTGTCTCCACAGTGGTACAGTAGACTAAATAAAGACCAACACTTCCATTCTCATGTAATTTTTAGAAGGAATGATGCTCTCACAAATTATCATCATAATAAAAAAGAAGCACTAAACTCACAAGGATCATGAGTTGCTATATATAGAGTGAAGGCATATGAAAAGAATATTTATCTACAGTTATCCCCCAGTGTTTGACTAGAGAAAACGTAATTCTTCCGACACTCCTGCAAAGCGACTTTGTAAACAAATCTCATTTATGTCAATTTTTATTTTGTGGATGTATGTATAATGTTTATATGCTATGTAACGTGTTTCTTATATAATTTTGAAGAAAATATCATAGATGGATTAATGAAAGTGTCTATATTAACGTAAAATAAGACATTTAATGTGCCCAAGAGAGATTATTATTACATAGTACACGTATTACTATGGCGTCGTGAGTCGAGAGACTCTTAGTGATTTTAATGTGTACCTGCATGCCAGCACAGTGTGTAAGTATATTTAGACACAGGTACACATAAGCATAATTATCAGAGTACATATAAAATATGCAATAACTTTGAAACATTTGAAATTTTGGAAAGTTTCCAGACATAATAGATATGCTCACGGAGAATGTAAACAAACTGGGTGGGATGCACCATATTTGAAAGACCGCTTGCTGTATAGCAAATTTTGGTCATAATTTGAAATCGCTGTATTAGCGGAACGCCGTAAAGCGGGGCCCTACTGTACAGTATACAAACTTTCAGTACAAAAATCTGCCATGCTCAAGCTGAAAAAAATACAAGGTTCTTGGTACTTTAAATTCTTTTAGTGACCTCATAAAGTATTGCTTTTTCGTATTCTGTGCTTAAGCATCATCTTGTATAAGTCGTGTAATGGCATTAATATCTGTAGTGACCTAAAATTGAGTATCAGTATTGACAAAATTTTGATATCATCCCATTTCTACCTTATACAACACACAGGGCTTCAACCAAGAGTACTAAACTCTGTTCTGCCTATTTTACAGGAATCTATTATTCAAGTGATAATAAAACATTCTTATTGTTGCTTTTTATGTAGTACAGGTCCTCCATCACAAATCCGGCATCATTGGGACCTGTAGTGTGCCGGATTACTGAGTTTGCTGAATTACAGAGTGGTTAGGTTAGAATACACTTAATAAAATTAACCAACTTGACTTACACAGTTCATTGAACATCGGCAAAAATCGAACATTTCCACTACTTTGAGCTCAATTTCAAGGTACTTTTCGTAAAGAAAGCAATCAAAATCATGTCTATTTCTGTAATATATCTTCCATTCTATCAAATGAGTCCAAAAAAATGAGAATACAACCATAAAAACCATACGAAAATATACTGCAAAGAGGCGGCTAATGGCCGAGAGGTGAACTCCCTTATTTATCGTCCGTCTTTTTTATTTTTGTTGTACGTTAAGAAGCATCTTTCCATCATACATTGCCCAAGTTTCAATGAGATAGCCCAACAAACAACCGAGAAAAAAAAAATTTACCAAAAATCATATATGGCAAGCCCAAGCTAGGTACTGGAAATAAGTCACGTTGTCTGACTTTTCTGGGTTATCCTAGGTTCTCTATACATACGCTGCTATGTATGATAATCTATGTAACTGTATTTGTGTATACCTGAATTAACTTATTTACTTCTAGTCTGTCAACTGAGTACAAGAAACCGCCCATTCACTTATTTCAACTACCCAATAAAGTGGTCAGAAATTGGCAATTTGGCCGATTTCACACAAATTTCAACAGATGCCAATTTCAAAATAGTGTCCAGAATAAACAATGTAGACATTCCTGGCACTAAAATAACATTTTCTCTGTTCATTAGTCATGGCTACAGGCCCCTCTTATATTACTCTTGTTTACCATTTGGAATTTTTATTCACAAAAAAAAAAAAAATAGAAGATTTACTGTCATGCAGACTACTGCATTATTGTAATAATTGTATAAATAATGTCAATCCATTCTTGACTCCGTACTGGAATTTGGACTGGCAGGCGGACAGGTATTGTTTACTCTTGAGCTTCGCTAAAGAATAGAACATTTTCGCTACTGTGAGTGCAATTTCAAGGTACTTTTCATCATGAAAGCAATCAAAATCATAACTATTTCTGTAATATATCTTTCATTCTATCAAATAAGACTGAAAAAATGAGAATACGTATAACCATAACAACCATACAAAAATATACCGCTAAGCGGCCGCTAATGGCTGAGAAGTGAACTCCGCTATTTATGGTCTGATTTCTTTCATTTTTGATGTATATGACGAAGTATCTTTCCATCATACATTGCCCAAGTTTGAATAAGATAACCCAACAAACAACTGAGAAAATAATAATAAAATAATAATAATAATATCTTTATTTACTACACGTACATGTACAAGGTATACAGGCCTAGCTGACATCAGTGACATACTACTGTATAGAAAGGCACTTGTTATGCTGAGTATTTCAAGAAAATTAGGTCAGTGTCCCAGGTTAACACCCACACTAGTCGACTAACACCCAGGTACCCATTTACTGATGGGTAAACATAGACAACAGGTGTAAAGAAACACGCCTAATGTTTCTACCCTGGCTGGGAATCGAATACAGTGGACCCCTGCATAACGGACGCCTTGCATAACGGACAATCCGCATAGCGGACGCTTTGATCGCTAAAATTTTGCCCCGCATACCGCCCAAAAACCCGCTCAGCGGCCTTCGTCCGAGACGCGTCCAATGTGCGGCCTGAGCCACGCTCACATGTTCCGCCGGTGGCATTGTTTACCAGCCAGCCTCCGCGGTAACATCCAAGCATACAATCAGAACATTTCGTATTATTACAGTGTTTTTGGTGATTTTTTTCTGGAAAATAAGTGACCATGGGCCCCAAGATAGCTTCTAGTGCCAACCCTACAGCAATAAGGTGAGAATTACTTTGGAGAATGAAGAAAAAGATCATTGATAAGTATGAAAGTGGAGTGCGTGTCCCGAGCTGGCCAGGTTGTATAATAAACCCCAATCAACCATCGCTACTAATTGGTGGTACAGCTGCTGCTGCTGCTGCTGTAACCACCGTCAGCTGCTGCTGCGCTGTTAGTACCGTCTGCTGCTGCTGTAGCATCGTCTGCTGCTGCTGTAAACATCGTCAGTGCTGCTGTAGCAATCGTCTGCTGCGCTGCTGTAGCATCGTCTGCTGCTGCTGCTGTAACATCGTCTGCTGCTGCTGCTGTAGCATCGTCTGCTGCTGCTGCTGCAGCATCGTCTGCTGCGCTGTAACATCGTCAGTTGCTGCGTAGCATCGTCTGCTGCTGCTGCTGTAGCATCGTCTGCTGCTGCTGCTGCTGCTGTACCACCGTTGTTGTGGTGGCTTATTGAGAATACCAAGAAACAATTAACCCCAGAGGATTTGCCACCCAGGATAACCCAAAAAAGTCAGTGTCATCGAAGACTGTCTAACTTATTTCCATTGGGGTCCTTAATCTTGTCTCCCAGGATGCAACCCACATCAGTCGACTAACACCAGGTTGAACAGGGAAAATGCCTGGAACTAGTGCTCATATTGGTGAATTTAGAGCCAGCAAAGGTTGGTTTGAGAGATTTAAGAATCGTAGTGACATACACAGTGTGATAAGGCCTGTTCTGGAAGAAAATACCAAACAGGACCTACAGTACTCAGGAGGAAAAGGCACTCCCAGGACACAGTGTCTCATCAGTCATTGCTGCATCTTCAATAAAGGTAAGTGTCATTTATTCTTCATTTAGTAGAGTAGTACATGCACAATATAAATTGTGCATGTACTACTCTACTTTTGTGCATGTATCCTTCTCTTTGTGTGTAGGAAAATGTCTATTTCATGTGGTAAAATTTTTGTTTTCATACTTTTGGGTGTCTTGCACGGATTAATTTTATTTCCATTATTTCTTATGGGGAAAATTCATTCGCATACCGAACATTTCGCATAACAACCAGCCCTCTTGCACGGATTAAGGTCGCTATGCGGGGGTCCACTGTATTTACCAAAAATCATATATGGCTAACCCAAGCCAGGTACTAAAAATAAGCCACGTTGACTTTTTTGGGGTTATCGTAGGTTCTCTACACATATGCTGCTATGTGTGATAATCTATAGAGAGAAAATAACTTTTTTGTTTCATGTTTATGGTGGAGTACGAGTGTATATCATAGCCCTGTGCTATACTCCGTTTTCTCTAATATAAGCCATATTATTCATTCTGGAGTATTTAACATGTTTTATGTTATTTATATTGTTTCTTATGTCATATTAGATCAATTGTGATAGGCAAATAAGCTGTAGTGTTGATATTAGCATAATAATAAAGCATATTCTCCTGCTTCATGAGACTGAGCTCATGACAACCGACAGTGGCTTCAAAGCCACCTTATCTTTAATGGATAATGTACTGTGTAGGTGCTTTACATAATGAGAAGCATTTCTTTTATTCATTGGAACCATGGCTAGGGCTAAAAGTAAGCAGGTTAAAACAATAAATGGAGAAAAAGAAATTGGAATGACTTATGTAGCAAGTAACACCACCAAACAGTACCAGCAGGTTGGTGTGGCGACCCTGGAAATTTTAAATTATGCTAGCCAAAATTAGTGCCGAATAACTGAAGGAACCGAATAACTGATTGCTGGATTTGTGATGGCAGACCTGTACTTTATATAGAATATATTTTTTCATAAAGTGCTGAGTGCACATTTTTTCCAGTACAGTAAATGATTCCTTTGCTGTAATTGGCTACCTCTTTTCTCTATTCCTTATTTTTATCATAATTTTTGTTTACTTCTACAGTGAGCAAAAAAGAAGATTAAAAGCAGAAAAGAAAGCACAGGAAAAAGCAGAAAAGGAATCTGGTAAAGCTGACCAGGTCACTCCATCAGCCAAGCCAAAGAAGGTAAGAATGTGAATCTGTTTAATGAGTTCACATGAAAATACAACATAATTTTTAGCTATTGACTGATATTGTAGACAAAATTATCTTTTAGAGCATTGTTAGGTGGCCTTAAATAAAAAGTTATTCCAGTCTGAACACTAGTTTTGGAGATTTTTACTTATAGCATGTATTTTGACCTATTGTATACATGTTTGTGCATGGAGCATTGTTTACTGCTTGATTTGGTTCATTTCATATGAATTTTTCTAGCCTAAGTTAGTATATTATCCCTCATTTGCTCTCTCTGGTGTTCTCAGAAATAACTTTTTTACAATTTGGGATTTTTATGACCTTTAATCTTGTAAGTAAAGCTAAATAATAACAATAATTTCAGGTGAATGAAGAAGAAATTAGTGCTAATGAGTATCTGAAGTTGAGGATACAGTCTATTCAGCAACAGAAAGATGAAGGCCATGTTGTGTACCCACACAAGTTCTACGTGTCCATCTCCCTTACTGAGTTTTTGAGAACTTATGAAAGTTTGGGACAGGGAGAAGAAGGAAAGGAAGAATTGTCACTGGCTGGCAGAGTTCATGCCATTCGAGAAAGTAGTCAGAAGCTTCGGTTTTACGATTTAAGAGGAGAAGGCGTAAAGTTGCAGGTTAGATCCAGAAATTTATAAAGCACACTAACATTTTGCATTTGCTGTGTTTTATATCATAAAACTGTATAGGCATATTATCATAGGTAGGAGTTGTATAGTTCTTGGGGAATATTTGTGCATCTGTATTCATGACATTCCTTGAAATTGCTAACTAAGACAATTTGGAATTTGTTTCGAACTAATTCTCTTTTGCTATGTGAGGTGAATAGTTTGTCATTCATGCTTAGAAGACTACTATCCCCAAAGTTTAGTAGGTAGCTCTTCTCTTTTCCTAACACATGGTCACCCTATGGTAGTGGAACTTGACTGTCTTCATACTGGGTGGATTTCCTACCTGAAGTAAACCTAGAGGATGTTCTGGGGTCAGCACCCCCACGGCCCAGTCTTTGACCAGGCCTCCCGGTGAATCAGGGCCTGATCAACCAGGCTGTTACTGCTGGCTGCACATAGTCCACTGTACAAACCACAGCCTGGCTGATCGGGTAATGACTTTAGGTATCTCTCCAACTCCCTCTGGAAGGCAGCCTGGGGTCTACTGGTAATTTCCCTTTTGCCTGGTGGGAGGCTGTTGAACAGTCTTAGTATACCAATGGCACCCCTACTCTTCATTGGGGGGCATGTTGCACCATCTGCCCAGTCTTTTGTTTTCTTAGGGAGCAATTTATGCATGCACATTTGCTACCAGTCCCTCTAGGTTTTTTTCCAGGTGTAGATTATGAGGTCTTTTCGCCTGTGCCCCAGTGAGTCCCGGTTGATTTTTCCCAAAGGGCCCCCCAAAAATTTTAAGGTTTTGAGGAACTTGTGTGTGCAGTAGGGGAAAACCCTTTTTTACATTCTCTAGATCGGGCAGTTTCACCCTCCCTTTGAATGGAGCTTTTGGTTTAAACCCCGTTTTTCCCACCCTTGGAAAACGAGTGTTTTAAAAAAGGTTTCATAAATTGTTGGGTCATCCATGTTTTAAAGGGTTTCATTTTTAAATTCTAAAAATTTTTCCTTGATATTTGTTATGACACTGTTTGTGTTTCCCTTTGAAGGTGTATCTCTGACATTAACTCCCCAAAGTATTTCCACTACTTTTCCCCCTTATTGTGTGATAAGAGTTTGTGGGGTTTGCCCCGAAACCTACTAGGTTTTTAAAAGTATGAGGTCTGTACCCCCTGATCCCTTTTAACCCTTTTTGACTGTTTCGGGCCCCCTCTCTGAAACTTGCATTCAAAGGGTCGCCAAATATTCAAAAAAAAAAATTATTTTTTCTTATAAAAAAGTTAGGAATATTTTTTTTAGTTTTTTAAATCAAAAAAAAAAAATTTTGCCACCGTATTTCCCCGGAGATATAGGCCGCAAATTTTGCAGAAATTGACGTGCGCTGGCAACAGCGGCAAACGGGCCGCCCCCCCGGGGAAATTCTTTTATTTACTCAAATTCAAAGGTTTCTTTTTTTTTTAAATATTTTTTGTTCCGGGAACTTTTTTGGGGCCCTGTGAGAAACCCCAATGTAAGGTGCATTGTTCAAAAAACACTCTTTTTTTAAAAACCCAATAACAGAACAAATTTTATCACTATTATTTTGGGTGATACACTTTTTTAAACCCCAAACAAAAAAACCCAAAAAAATGTTTATTACTTTTTTCCCAAAAATTTTTAAAACCCAATAGTACATTTCCGCAACACTTTCCCAATAATTTCTGCAGCGGGGAACTTTTCGAAAAAAAGGGAAAATATGAAGGGGGCACTTGCCCTCCTCACACAAAAAAGAGTGTCTCTCGTGTTTGTGGGCTTTTGTGGTATGTGAACAACAAAAACCCCTTTTTCTACTTTTTTCCCGGGCAGTTAGGAGGCATTTGCATGGGGTAGGATCCCCAAGGCCTGAAAAGAATGCCCCTGTTTTGGAAATTTCGTGGGGGGGGTTTTGCGGTTTTTTGTCCCTTGGTACTTTGCAATTATTTGTTAAATTACTGAAAACAAAATTCACCATTTTTTGGTTGTTTTTTTGGATCTTCAATTTGTTTTGTTATAAGCATTCAGATAGAGATATAAACAAGTGGAAAAAATTTTTAAAACCCATTAAAATTTGCGTACACATCTCCCAAACCCAATCTGCATGTCACATTTGTCCACTAAGCGAAAATTGAGGTTGTAGTCCCACGACAGTTTGCAGGCTTTAAAAGGGGGTTTTCTTGGTCTCTGTTTTTCCTGCCAGGGGTTTTTCCCATTTCGTTTCGGGAATGATGTCAAAAATGGGGCATCCCGTTTGTCATGCCCGAAATCCCCTGAGGTCTTTGGCAGAAAAAGGCTTGCCCTCACCTCTGTGGTGCCAGCGTCAAAACCCTTGGGTATTTTTTTATGATTACCACGCATGTACCCACACTTCTGTAATTTCCCCTCGCAAGAAATCACTGGAAAAGGGGTTTTGTGTACCATTTAACAAAAATAACTTTCCCCCCTTACCAAGATATGGTTCCTCATTTTTTCGAAAAAACATCCCCCGAGATCCCCAAAAAAATTCAGGGTATCTCTCAAATTTTACTCCCAGTGTACAAATGAAACCCAAAATAGACCAATTTTTAAATCACACAGTAAAAAATAGCTTTAACCAAAGGGGTTTCTTTGGGGGGATATATTGCTTGAATGGTCTTCCTTTGAATAAAAAAAGGGACTCGTAAATTTAACAAGTTCCTGAAGGGAAAAAAAACATGCACCCCTTTTTGGTTTCAGGTACAAAAACCCCACATTTCTTTCTAATAAAACCCTTTGGCTTCTGTCGGGCCCGGGTTTTTGGGTCTGAAAAGTGAAACAAAGAAACAGTATAAAGGAAAATGATTACCCCCTTTAAAAGTCACTAAAACCTGGATTTTGAAATCAGGCATTCTTTTTGCCCCAAAAGTGGTGACAGTGTGTTTAAACCATGGGCCCATAAGCTTTAAATTTTGGCAAAAAACAGGTACATCTCTGCCACAGTTGCCCCTCCTTCCACTTGTTTTCCTGTAAATTTTGGTGAGAGAAAAATTTTTTTTCCCATGGTTAACACAGATGTGTTTTTTTCCCTGAAAATGTGTCCCCCGGGGTTCTTCGAAGAATAACCCCAAAGCAGCCAGTTCATGGAAATTTTTCCCAAAGTGGACAGATGGCTTTTTTTCCCACTTTGTGTTTAAACAAAGCCCATGGGGAGGGGGAAAAAACCCTCGTCACCGCCCTGCCCCAACCCCAAGGGCGGTCGTGGGGGGGTTTGGGAAAATTGTCCCGGGGTTGTACAGGTTGGGGTTTTTGCAGGTTTGGGAGTGCGGTTTGGGGTGCTTTTTGTGGGAGTGGGGGGTGGTGAGGGGGTTTGTTGTGCAGAGCCCAGCAGGTGGGTAAAAGCGGGGCCCCGCTGAGGGGCCACAGGGGGCCGGCCCCCCTCACAAATCACCACCACTGCCTGCTCCCCCACTACATCATTCTTTCCCCAAGGGTTCAATATGTCATCTTCACTATCGGGGTCATGGTTGGGGCCCGGGATGTGCTCCAATTTTTTCCCCTTTTCCCCTTGGAAAAAACCTAAAAAACCCACCCCCGGCCCGCATGTAGTCGTACATCCTGCCCACTTAAACTGGGAAAATTCACCCTCCTGTCACTAAAAAACCTGTTTAAAAAGCCCTTAAAATCCTTCACTATCACCCCCCATTTGCTATCATCGGGTTTTGTACACGCCCAAAAATATTTTCCCTCTTTCATCCTGGTCAGGCGAACGTAAAACCGTGAACAACCCCGGCCAGCCCAGAGGGGAAGGTTGGGGGTTCATCGGGGTTTTTCATCACTAAAAATTTTTAAACCTGGGCATTTTTCCCGTAACACCCACTAAAAAAACCCTGGTTTCACTGTCACTGGCATTTTAAACGCTTTTAAAGCAAATCACTTGGGAAAAAAAGACCCCCTTCCCCCGAGGAGTGGGGAACTTTTTCCCGGGGCTGGTGAAAATGGACTAACAAGAGGGGTTTCCCAAAAAAAGGCACCGCTGGGTCCCGTTTTTTTTTAAACAGGGTGCCACCAACCACGGGAAAACCCATTCTCTCCCCTGAAAGGCCTACCAGGCCTTTCCCCCGTTTGATTTAAACCCGTAAAAATTTGTGCGTAAAAAATAGCAAAAACATTGGCTCGTAAGACGTTTTAAAACTTTAAAAAACCAGTCAAAGGGTTAAAGGGGAACGGGGCCGTTGGTTTTGGTAGCATTTTTTTTTGGGACGGGGGAAAAAAATGGTAATTCGGGGTGGAATGTTTTAGGAGGAAGAAAAAACCACACATTTTTGGGACAGGAGGCCCTCGCCTTTTTTGGGGTCCCCAAATTTGGGGACATCCATTTTTTTTCCCCCGTTTTTCCATGTTACAGATCCCCAAGCATAAAAAAAAAAAATTTTGCCCCTTTTTGCGTTTTGTTGGCTAAAATTTTTGTGATGATGCATTCTAAATTTTGTGCATTTTCTAAAAATGCACCATGTCTTTTAAAAACCCCTTTGAGGGTCAACAGGCCTCCCCGGACTTTTTTCTCCGGGTGGGCCAAAATTTTTCAAAAAAAAAAAAAAAAAAAATTTTTTAATGAAAAAAATTTTTTTTTTAAAAAACCCATTATAGGCTAAAAAAAATTTTTAAAACCCCACCAAATTTCCCGAATTTGGGGCGTGAAGTTTCCCAAAAAAGGCATCTTTTGGTAAAAACGCCGACAACTGTCCCCCGGGAATTTTTTTTTTTAGCGTTTTATAAAAATTTTTCTATTTTTTTTTAATTTTTTTCTTTTCCAAAAATTTTTTATGGCCTGGAGACCAATATGATCAGTATTTTAAGTTATTTTTTTTTCATACTACACAATAAGGGAAAAAAAACACTGTTGTCATTGTTTTTTTTACAGAAAATATTTACACAAAAAAACGTTTATGAAATGTTTTTTAAAATTACTTTTTTTCTATTTTTTTATATACAGATATACAGTAAAGGGGAAAAGTTTCTAAAAGTTCCACCCTGTTGGA